ACGAACTGGCTCGCGCTCCCGTGCTGTCTGTTTATAGTTTTTCTAGCCGCGTTTCGATACGGTATAGCAACTTCTCGTTTGTGCGGTTCTCGCGTTGCTGTCGCGATATCCAGGAAATTCTGTGGATTTTCTGTGAGCGTTCCGGAAGTGCAGTGTTGTGCCATAGTGCAGTGCCCACCCGAGTGTCTCCTGGATGCAGTTCTCGGCCTTGACGGATCAGCTGAACCGGCTCCGGTGAGTGCTACCGATTTATTAATTGGTGGAGGGATTTCGATTTCACAGCTCCGATTCGTTCAGCTACGTTCTCGACCAATTGCTCTCAGTATCGCGCACTATTTGCCTGACTCTTATTACGTAACCCTCCGCTCCCGTTCGTGCATCCAGTTGCGTTTGTTGATTTTACGCGTCCCCAAAGATCTGCAGGATTCGTTAGGTTGTCGCCTCTTATAACAGATTCCGTCAGAGCTCTCGTTTTGGCGGAGTTGGGCCTGTTTCACGCCAACTCCCAGTTCCCGGTGAGAAAAGAATTGACTAGCGCCCGCCTGGCTTGCGGATGCATAAGCAAAAGTTACACGGCCGAAGGTAACGTAGGTTAGGTCTCGGATTTTGTTTACTATCGGTATCGAGTTAAGAAAAATACGTAACAACATATACAAAACTTTATTTGCGCTCGTCAATATCCCATAGTACGAACATGCCTTAAGGCGGGTTTACCAAATAAAAGTAGAAATAATTTTCGTAATTAATATCCAAAAAAATTACTGTGCGTCAAAAATAAATTATATACAGTAAATTTTCAATGGCGTTTAATTACAGACGACCTCGTTGGGTACCCTGACTAAATGTGTCTGTCATTCTTGAAAATGACTGTACCGTACCGTTATACAAAGTTCCAATAAAATTCAAATCAATCTCGTACATTCTTTTACAAGTATTCAAAAATCCGTCATCAATCAATTTCGTCAATGACCCAAGTAGCAGCTCGATGACATCTGTTTTCACCGAGCATTTAAAGAGGGACGTCGAGGTATTTTCAAAAAAAAAAAAAAAAATTTTTTCTCATAGGCATCCGACAAACCGCAAAATCACGTTCGGCCATTATTGAATCAAGTATGATTGACGGGGTCACGTGATACAATGTGATTCGAGGTTATACAGGGTGTCTAAGAAGTAAGCAACAAAGACCGCACGCGGTGGTCACAGTATCTTGGTATACCACCGTATTAATTTAATACACCCATAAGTTTCCCATAGGAAACGTGCCGGCCAGTGTCGCAGCCTGAGTATAAACCAGGCATTATCGTCGCCTTTCATGGAAACACGATAGCCCATTCCAATGTCTTTAGGATTGTGAGAGTGAAAGATCGTGAGGCTGTGCGGCCAGTAGAAAGATTACGAGGCGCGACATCTGGCGCCAGACGCACATGCGTCTCTTGGTTAGTATACGTATATGGACATATATATATATATATATATACTGTAAAAGAGCGAGACGCATGCTGGGATTGGGCCTCAAGTCCCATGCTGGACGATTGGCAGGAGCGTGCACGCCTACACGCGCGTCGCGACGACCGAGTAGCGGTGCTCAATTTACTTTGGGTCGAAATTATTTATGGTTATACAATGACCTATGACCCTAATCCTCTTGACGCCGCGAGTCTTGAGAATTAATCTATTTCTATAGAAACTTAAACGGGGACCCCCATTACCACGTGACGATGGGACCTCGAGGACCCCCGTGAGCGACGCCAATCAACCCGATGAGATTAGGCAATTTGCATACGATATTGGATGTTTGAAAAATTCATTAAACTTTACATGAGAAAATATTCAAATTCAATTATATACATAATTTTAATTAATGTATATATATAGTTTATATATATAGTATAAATATATATATATATATATATTTTATATGGATATTGGTTTGGGTCAATACGCGAAGAAGCACTGTCAACTTTTCGTCGTTTACGAAAACCACAGCGCTTGAGCCTTGCGAGACGCTGGTTGACCTGGAGTAAAAAAATTTTACGATTTTTTCAAAATTTTTTTTTCGCCATTATTATTATTTTTTATTAACGACCTTGTCGAAGATATATATGTTTCTCAGGGTCTTGTCACGTATTTTGGATGCTAACGTTACTTGGTCCATCTGGATCCACGGAGATGTGGATACTCTGGTATAGTTATGGGCGTCGCATATGGCAGACGTCCAAAATCAGGCGTCGCTTGCGATTCCGCAGAGTCTCGAGTCTTCAAGGTAAAATCTTCGTGGCTTCCGGTTTACTTTAATCACGAAATCCGGCATCGTTTTACATCTCCCACGTATATGGACTTGGTCCGGGTATCGGCAGCAGCTGTTCTACCGATGACGTCACCCGGGTACAACGTTTCGAAAATTAAATAAATTCTAACGGATTATCTGACTTTCGATTGGTCCTATACCACGGTATGACTTTCACCTCCTCTTTTGGATTTGAATTTTTTTTTTTTTTTTTTGGTGTGTGTGTGTGATATTTTCTATTCAATTCATGATTCTTTGTTGTTATCAATTACGCGGTCATTTTTCATACCCAAGTCAGTCTTTAATGACTTTTGATGAATTTACTAATTCGCCACACGGTACGTGGTTCTGTTACGAGGCGGCCAATAAGACACGCGTGCTTAGTGTGTACGGTTCCGAAGCACAAGTCGTCATTGCTTATCCATGTAATTCGTAAAGGCACATTCACAATGCGAATACCTTGGGTACGTAGCCGCCTAGCCAATTCCACGAGATTATATGCTGTACTGTATATAATGTACGTGTATATATATATATATATATATACGAATTTCAAACGGGGAAGCCACCTTGTCCTGCAAAGAATCAAATCGGGGACTCGATTCTATTTAAGTTTCGAGACGGATGAATTTTTGTGGAAGCCGGGCGTCGCGACGCCGTCGTATCGCAGGCTTAAACGTTCTTTCGCCTTGCTTGGCGACACAGCCAACATGCGCGAGTATCAGCTTGGCGTCGCGACGCTCTTGAGTGACTTGTAAAAAAAAATTTTTTTTAAATTTTTCCATAAAAATCCAAAAAATTTTTGTAATTTTTGAAACTGTATACATAATCAAAATGATGTATCGAGAGACATTCTATACAGGGTAGTAGTAAAAAAAATGTTAATAAGTATTTAGCATCTCGTTTGTTTAGTCTCGTCCGATACTCAAAGCCGTCGCGACGCCTCGCGCTACCTTCGTTCAGCTATATATAATGAAACTCGGTCCATTTCCATTCCACCCGCGGAACACCTGCACGTATTTGTCTGTGCAGGAGGTGCGGGGACGCTGGGTCTTAGGAACGTCGGGACGCCGACGTCGTGGTGCGTCTCAACAAAACAAGGACGCATCGCACGACGCCGCGGCGCCGACGTCCAGCTGGCATCCCCGTCACCTCGAAACGGCCTCGGAGACAGGGGGGGGGGACAATTCCCTCTCACCCCTTATACATATACCGAAAATTCCACGGATTCCAATCTACTTTCTAATTAATCCCAATTTCCTATCACGCTACAATTCATAATCACACTACAATTTCGTATCTCGTAAACACGCATCCGTGAAGAAAAAGTTGTATGAAAAAAAGGAAATTATTCCCACCATGCATGTCGGCCCGTCTCGTTGCGACTTTCGTGCATCGTGCAACATACCGCTCGTGCCTGCAGCCTGTCTCAGCCCTGAGGCGCCTTAAATTAATGCGTTCGAAATAGCCGCGATTACTGAAATCCAAGTAGCCACTCTAATAGACTGACTAACCGCTACCGCGATACACTGAGGAATAATGTCGGTCAGCAGGACCCAAAAGAAGATTTGGACTGGAATGTACATACTTGGTGAATGTGAATGTGTCAAAAAAAAAATTTATTCTACAAATTCCCTATATATCCCTAGACGGTAGAAATTCCAGGATTATCATTGGTACCTAGGAGCATAACCTCTTACAGGAGTACCAACGGCATAATGATGAAGAACTAGGTAGATAGATTTTTTTCATTATATAAACTCCTCGTACATAACCTATTCGTGCCGTTACCCAGTGTATCGTAAAGCAGTGCCGATTCTCTCATAAGAAATTCTCTTTTAAAGTTTCGGTCAACAGTCCGAAATGCTTCGGTAAGTGCGTACAGCTGTGGCTCCTCCGTAAGTCTTTTCATTGTCCGTCCGTCTGTTTATGATCTGTATACTCGGCGCTGGTTCATTGACGTGTTGGTTGTATAGGAAGATATCGGAGAATCCGGATATTTTCGTTGGGCGCTCTCATGTATTTTTGTGAAACGTTCTAATTCCGTAGACACGTGGCCGGGGAAACAGATGCGCCTACCCGCTACGTATAAATATATCGTGACTACTCGTTAACTTCGTAACGGTCCCGTCTCGTTCGATGTGTCGCTTCTCGTTCTGCCTTCGCGATGCCGCTTCTGCCTTGGCCCCGCGATATATAAAGTTACCAGCGTCGCGGCGCCTTGCCGCCCGTACATTCTAGCTATTTGGATCGTCATGCGAGCATACACGTATTCTTGATCTCCGAGAACGCGAAGACACGTATGTCATATGTGGAAGGGTGATTACAATTTTTTTAAAAATTCCAAAAAAATATCTTACGTAAAATTATAATAGAAAGATTGATTAACGTATTGAGGTAATAATAATTTTTGAGAAAAAAAATTTTTTTTTTTACTTTACAACTTTGCTATTGAGCAATGTGTGGCGTAGGCACGGAGGATGTTTACTTGAGCTCAAAACTTCCTGATTAGTCATTCATTACGTCTGACTGCCTGCCTTTACTTCCGGTCGCGCCTGCCACGATATTAACATACGTTTCTATGCCCGTCGACGTCACGACTCTGTCGTACGGACTAGGCAGCATCTTTGTGTATTCCGGTTCTTTTTTTTCTTTTTTGAAAGGTGGTACTTTATAGGATTTTTTAAATCTAATCAGCTGCTGATGTCTGTTATTAATATTTGACTATTTATTTTTATTGATCTTTATAATCATCTGTCAAATTGCGTTCAGTGGGTCTTGTTTTGCACTGGTTCAAAGAAATTGGTTATAAGCGGTGAATAGAAAAATTGCCATAGAAAATTCTTAAAAAATGTCTGTAAAATCTGGAACAATATGAATGTATGCTAAGACGAATGGAACGGTAGGCCGGGATACGTTTCGGTGGGTGAGTCAGCTCGTTGAGATTTCATGCGTGCCATATGTAACGTGACTCGTGACTTTATTCATGAACTGTAGCAACGCGTAAAACATGACGGCACGGGTACCAACATAAGCACTTAGTCGCTGGCGTAGTGCACTCGTGAGAAATTCAAATTCCTACGCGCATAACAGCGTGGAATAGATTGCTTTATTAGAGTTTGATTGTTTTTTTCCAAATTCCACTTCGCCGTCCGACGTGATTTTAGGAATTTTTTCACTGCTTCAGTTTTATGCTTCCGTATTATCCAGTTGATAAGGGCCAAGGTCGATTATCATTTCGATATTTTATGCTGTTGATAAAAAAAAAATTTGTTATATTCACAAGGATGCTGTGTGGATATTGAAATTGTCCGTGGGTTGCCATGGAAATGTGAACAAGGTGGTTACAGCGTATTGTATGTATAGGTAATGGGGGTGGTAAGGTCAAGGGTCAAGCTAATACGTGGAACCCATGGAATATTTTCTGAATTAATCGAAGCGAATCGAACCACTGACAATCCTGCGTATGATAATACCTTTGGCGAATGGCAAGCGTGCTACGTATTGCAATGTAATTCTTATGTGCAATTTATACTGGTATTGATGTATTTTGAAAATGGAGCAAACATTTTTTTATACCTTCAATACCAATGCTAAATCCAAGTTCGATAAAGGACTGTCACTTTTTTTTTTTACTAAAAATGAAATGTATCCCATCCTGGAATGTTAATATACTCATAGCCAAGTGAAACGACCTGGTTACATTGCAATACGATTTGTCCCGTCTCCATCTGCCTCCCGTACTATGCAATTCCTCTTGCGTGCAAGTGCAAACCACGTGACAGCCAATGTACGTGGCGCCAGTGCAGTATACAAGTCAGCAGTACAATCCGGAATGCAGCGCTCAGCCAAAAACTGTCAAAATAAAGGAAGCTACAGTGCATCATAAATAAATCATAAAGAACAGCAACAATAACTTCACATGCAACTCCATGAGAATTAACATGAAGATCGCATCGACAATATGTTGCCAATACTTTCATGCTCACTCTTAGGAATTGGACAAAAATCAGTGACAAGGTCAAGTTTTAAAAAAAAAGTTGATTTTGCTTTAAACCTGCCGTTTCTCATACAAACAGCACTGCAGAGCTATTGCGTACAAGGCTATCCACAAATATACTTGGTCTACTAGTACAAGGGTAATACTTATTTCAGTATTGGTTATTTTTCAAGTGGAACAACACAAATTTTTACCTTCCTTAAAAAACTTTACCAGTCAATGATCATATAATTGTACATAAGAATATATACCTGGTATACAATCCAATCAGACATAAGTTTCTTCCAAGCAATATATATATATATGTATATGCAATCCGTCCACCACCTTCACCTGCAATTTATATTATTATATTTACATAAATTCCCATAATGCAACATAGCCATACAAGTCCTACTGTAATTTCTCTATACACATACCTATCTCACAATACAAGTCTCAGAACAGTCTGACTTACTTGCTGGCCTCACTGCTTGCGCAGACCGAAAGCAGAGGCTGACCTCGCGCGAAGTCATCGAGGTCAACGCTCCGTGAAACAATTTATTTTGAGCATTTCCGTAAGTATTATTAGCAGTCGGTTAAATCGTCTGACAATACTTCACGAGGGTGGAGGAGCAGGGGGTGAGGCCTGGTACGGGAAAATCCATCGGTATGCGCTAAAATCAGATCATCAAGTTAATAACTGTAACAGGTACTCGTATCATTGATAATGAGGACATTTTTTTTTAAATGTCAATTAAAAAAATATACACAGTAAACAGGATGCATTTGGTTTATTGGACCCCGCACGAAGTGATTGCCAACAATTTTTTGTATACTTTAGATAACGTAGCACACGTTGATATATTATATTGAATAGTATATGTCAGGATGCTAAAAATACTAACCTTATCTGAAAGTAACGATGCGCCTACGTATATGGTTCGACGCTACTGCTGGCGCCAGTGAAACTACATATGCCGTGATTCATATATGCTGCATACTGGAACCTTATGCCAACTCACATATTCCATGACTATTATACGTATGGATTACTAGAATACATATGTAACTGAGTAGGTAGCATATATATACCTAAGGTAGAAAACACACGATTCATTATATTAAAGTTTAATGTAGTGCCTAGTAGTACGTAGTGGGTTGTACGGCCATAACAGACCAATGTGGTTAATGCAATTCAGTCACGTAGTCCTAGGTATACAATGGCGCCCGGTTGGTATGTATATAGTACCTGCATTTACTACACATGAAAATCAAGTCTAGCGATCTTACCGATTATTTAACTTTATCAATTCACACTGTGCACGATCGATTTACAATAACACTGGTCGTCATCAGAATTTCGAGTTCTTACGTGTTAATTTTTGTCCATTAATAATGGCGAATGATGTTAATTGAGATTTTCGTGAGTCACGTGGTTTTTTAAAGAAATTTTGTAAATATTTTTGCTTAATGATTGAATACAGCTTTTTTAAGGTAACAGGCTATATTGTGTATTGATATAGTATATATAGACGTACGGAAGCTCGTGAGGTGGTTGGTCATGAGATGAAGGAACACCTATGCAATTATCATCTGTCATCCTATTGGCACGTAGAGTTCACGTGACAAATATTTTGCATCGCCAGTGGCCTTAGGTGTGCATCTTGCTGGCTTTGAAGTTGTGGAATGAAGAAGCAGGTGATTTCCGCGAGCTGTTTGGCTTAGTCGACCTATCAAGGAACCGAGCTACTCGTGGATGAGGGTCAGGTGTGCTGCAATAGCCATGAAAGTAAAGCAACTTCGTGGCAACGTAGACTGGATAGTACAGTGCCTAGTTTGATTATCGAAGCCATCAAAGTGCTGCGAACGCATCCACTCGCCACCTGTATGGAATAAATAACGTGAGTTTTCGCTATGACAGTTGTAGGTTAGAAGCGGTTATTTTTAACTTACTCAGAATAGCAGACTCGGTATACCAAAGAATTCTCATCGGTACTTTTGCATTTGACGACGGAACTCAAGCTCGTTGACAGTTATCGAATTACAAACGTAGTTTTCATGTCCATAAGGTAGCCATGTGGCTATGTTATGTTATTACTGTCGCCGCGTAGTATCGGACGGTGCGCATGCGCGGCGCGCATGGCTGTCACCCACAAAAGTCCCTAGGGACAACAGCACGTAATTTCGCCATTATGTCAAATTGTATACGACCGTACAAGACCCTATGGAATTTTTGTCTTTATGGACAGTGACAGTGCATAGGACCCCGTACACAAAATAATCCCAATGGACGCCAGGGATTTCCTTCTCGTGCCTGTAATTCTGCCCATGGGGACAGGGCCTTGTGTAGCCTCCACAAGTAAAGGTACTGTGTTATTAGTGCTCAAGTACGTAGGTGCCAGTGCGGTAATAAAAGTGTTATAACTAATTCCATGAATATAGAAAGAGTTGAAAGGAGCATGCGACCTCAGGTTACATATACACGTGTCCGCGTATGGTGTCCCATATGCGATGAAGCCTGCAATTTATGCCCTGACCGAAAGCCGACCTAATTTAATATTGCATACAGCCAGGGCCGTATATTTTATGCTAAGAAGTGAATTGACAAAGTGCATCCTGTGCGTCTATACCTGCCACGCGCTATCTTACTATACGTTTATGGGCCTATAGTTATACAAACGTCAGGACGAAGTATAAGTAGGCAGGCGCGAGTAATTATTTTTTCGGCAGCCATTTGTCGATTTATCCTCAGGGCCTCGTCTCAATTCGCGATCATTAACATCTTTATCTGACGATCTACGCTAAAGGGGCGGCCCGCGCCAGCCCCCAACACGTCAGGTGCAAGTGCAGGGCCGATAGTATACCGCTTGGGATGTGTTTTATACCTGGGGGAAATACGGGCCCATTCCTTTTACGCGCGCAGCCCTGGGCGCCCGTGTGCGTACGCGAGCACGCGCCGGAACCGGAAGCTGGGCGAGCACGCGAGCAGCGCGCGCACATCGTAACCCTTGTGTTGGATGCCGCTGCACAGGAAATTAGGGGGGAAACACTTTATGCCATCAGGTGAAGTCAGCACGCTTATGGTTTGTGCCTGCACTGGTAATTGACAATTTCTATGGCGGCGCCGACTGTTAAAATTATTATAACGATACGTTAGAATCAAAATGGCGTCTATTATATTAGAAATCGTCTATGGACATTACAAATCATCCCTAAAACGTAATTTTTATATTTTACCTGTTTTTACGAATAACGTTATAGTTATAAAAAAGCTTTTTTTTTAAATTTTCATGTATCTGCTTCTTCGTGTTTTTTTTTTTACTACGTTAGTTCACGCTTCCCCATGATATTGTCCAAACTCATCGTCGATACCAGAAGCCCATGGAAACACCTGTAAGCTTAATAAACGGTAGGTTCTGCTTATTATTAAGGTGTCGGCCTTTGATGACTTGGACGACCGTCTCATTACGTTATATTACACCGCGATGGTGGATTCAACAAGAGCCTACAGGTGTTATCTTTAATTTCTTCGAGGTAGCTATATATCCTTCCGAGCATTCAACGTTACAAGGTGCCTCGCCGCACTGCAAAGTGCAGCCGCGATCCGATCGGTTGCACTTATTTAACGGCTGCGTACCTACGGCTCTTTTACATCGCAGATCGATACAAGCGGGTCATTATTGGGGACTTGCAATTATCATTTAATGACAACGTTACCGAACGTTGCCAACTTCAGACGGGAGTTTAGCGAAAGATCGATATCGCGTTTCTCACTAAGACTCGACACTTTCCAACTTCCTGCTATAAATACTCGTATGAAATGGAAAAAGTTTTTACCATAGAAATTTTTTTTTTTCAAAATTCACAAAAATGACGACTGGTCGAAAAGAAACTGTAGCTGCTGAAATATCGTATCTGGAAATTTGATAAAAATTTTGAAAAAAAAAATTTTGAAAAATGTAAATAAATCTTTTTCATTTCTCCTCTTACGTCTCGCTCGTTGAAGTAATTGGAAAAAAAAAACTGACGGGTCAAAAAAACATGACTGACGACCCAATCACGGGGTGGCAAGTTTGAAACAAGACATACTTAAGTGGCACTATTAACACGTCATTTCTCGTCAGCGCGGTAGCCAGATTCTGACACGATAAAGATCAAAAGGAAGACACATTAGCCCGGAAGGGTTGTGTGGCATGATCTACAATCCCCGCTACAACGAGATCGAATGTTATAGATAAATAAATGCCTCCCTATCTGAACTGTCCGATCAGACCGTAAATCCTGGGTCGCGACTATCGCAGCAACCGCGACCTGGACTCTCGTTTTAATAGCCGAATGATATTGGTTCGTAAACATCGACCGGATGTGGGTCAGATGTCATGTGGGCGACCCCTATAACACACCAGGATCAGTACGAAACGCCATGGAGCAACAGCACACGCAGGTTGAACTGTCGGTGTGTGGGCTGCAGGTGAACCCCACCACCTGGCCCATACGCCACAGCCAACTGCCTAATTAATAACAATCGTATAGCAAGCTTAACCAAGCCTAACCCTAAGTGGTCGTCGGTATAATCCCAAGGAATAAATCATTTTATACATTGGCAAGCCTGCCGACATGATTGCACCGAGCAAAAAAAATCCCCTAGAGGCACTTGCGTGAAAGGAACTAGAAATCTACATGAATTCCGTACCCTAGTAACTTTACGCCATGGCGTGACTGGATGACGTCATATCTATAATGAAAAAAATTTTTATCGTGTCCTGGTCCAATCTTTTTTTTTTATTCACTCATAGAATTTTATATAGTCCGCAGTCTCTGTCTTTGTCTTTTGTGTAATTTCTAGCTCTCTTCCCCCTTAAGCCAAGTTTCCACCAGAAGAGCTTTCGGCGACTGGCAGTTACGCTTAATTCGATTTGGTCGTCAGCTGTGGGGAAAATGTTATCCGGGAGCATTTGGTCATAGGGCGGGGATGAACGTCTGATGTTCTCAGAGCGTGGGATCGTATGAGAGTGAGAGAGAGAGAGAGAGAGAGATCTTCCTTCTACCACAGACATCTCTTATATCTCAGCTTTACACATTCCGGTGCACGTGCACTAAGATCAACTTCGCAAAACTTTCGAATGCACATGCAACGGGCCAAAAGCCAGTCGCCTAGCGACAGCTGCGAACGACCGTGAGTCTGGTTTGGACGTCGTGAAAGCTGGGGAAACCTATTTAAAGTTCCGTGGGAAGCACTGCGCGAGCTACAGCAGTGCATGACGGGTAGCAGGTCGACAGGGGCCATTAAAATAGGACAATAATTCAACAAGTTCGATAATCTAATACTAAATCATGTTGTATTCGACGATGTTAAACTTTGTCACTTAAAATGTACATTGCACGTTGATATCGGGGGATGAAAATTTTTATTATGATTTTTTGAAAATCGAAATTTTTTTTCTTTTTTTGAAAATATTTTATCTACATTAAAAATCTTATTCTTTTGTCCGACTGTATTTTTGTACCGGGAGATCCCAGAGGATTGCGTGATCGTGGCGTGTGCCCGCGGGGGCGGTCAATTCGAGGAGAAGAGGATCGCGTGTGTACGAGCTTGCAGGTGGAGCGAAATCGAGGATCAGCCTGAACTTTTTGTATATAGCCTATGGGGGTTACTCATGGTAGAAGTGGTAGGTTGCACAGTGCGCACCTTAAACGTGGGCGGATCGGGAGGCGCCCGCGGGTGATTCTCACCCGCATACCTGGCATACGTGCCAGTCTTTCCTTTTCACCAGGAGGCAATGCACCATTCGTTTTCGAAAAAGGGAGAATATGCCTGCAGGAGACGAATCACAGTTTATATGTACAAAATATTTTTTTTTCATCATACAATCAATATATTATTAATTATTTATATAACATAGAATGTACGAATTTACAGGTCGATTAAATTTTTTTTTTTGGAATATCCAAATTTCAAAAAAAATCATCTGACTTTTTCGTCATCCGATATATTCGACTCTGTACAATTTATACGATCACCTGGCTTGCAAGTACCGTCAGTGATCCTGATACTTTTTAGCTGTACCAAGTGCATATACTAGGTGAGCCAAAATTTGTGGAATAAAAAAAATTTTTTTCACACGTCCAAGGTAGTTGAAAAAAGATGTAACTGAAAAATTGTATTTGTATCGGTGCGTATATTGTAGGATTTTTTTTTTTTTTTTTTTTTTTTT